TCAGCAGGTGTACCCAAATGTACCTGACCCACTCACAACTGGAAGCAAAAATGTCATGCTGCAGCACTTGCTCCTCTCTCTATAAAACCCTTCTTTGCTACAATAAACATTTGAAATAACAGACTGAACAAAAAAACAATGTAAAACAAAATCAATATCCCACGAATCTCTGCCTCACAAGTGACCTTTCATTACTTCTATTTGCACACAACTCTTCAGTACTTAGTCTTGCAAGAGCTCCTACACAAAGCAAAATTTCTAAGGGAAAATAATTAAGCAAAAGCAAGTACAGACAAACTGACACCACCGAGTTATAGTACATGAATAACTCAAACCATGCATCCAAATACTTTTGTAGTCCATGAATGGAAGAAACGTGCATAAAGTGCAGAATTCAAAACAAGAGTGTATTAAGAGACAGCTCTGATCAAACGGATTGCCCACTGAAAGCCTGACTCTGCACAGACAACTAGAAATAAGCCATAATGAAAGGCACCACACGAGCAACAACAAGCACCATGAATGTTGACTGCTAGACTTGCTCTTCAGAAAGTTCAGTTGGACACATTCTTTGCAACCTTGAATCTTTCAATTCCTGAAGTTAAACTCTTTTAGTAAGACTAATTTAGAGGAATAATTTTAGATATTTCATTCACAGAAAAATAACAGGCACCCTCAAACTGTTTAGACTATTTTCTAGACTATCATTCTCCTTTAGCAGTTGGTTTCCCCATACACAGACACTCCCCCATGTACAGACATTCCTCTTCATCCATGCTGAACAGAGGTGCCCAAATGTCTAGCACTAGCTGCTAATGTCAGGTTAGAGGATTCCAATCCTTAACAAGCTGGACATGTATAGTGATTAAAGAAAAAAAAAAATCCACTATTTTCTGCTAGAAGTGTCATATACATGCTGAACATAACTAGAAGTTTAATCTCATGATGTTAATTTGAAGAAGGTATTAATAAAAGCATCACCATAATAACATGGTGTCCTGAACAAATACATTCAACTTGTGTATCAGTACAAGCTGCAACTCATTTCTTCTCCCAGACTTCCAAGTTTACTTTGAAAAATATTATGGGAAATATTGCCAAAACAAATGATATTTATCATGTCTTTACTCTGCTTCTCTTACCTCCACCCTACCTTCCTTTTTCTTATTTACATAAATAAAACCCCACAATATCTACAAAGAGCAAAATCTGAAAGAATAAAGCACAGAGAACAACATTACCAGATAAATGACTACGTAATCACCTAACTTTATTGTACTAAATTCTTGAAGAGTTTAACAGGGAAGAAACAATGGAAATATGGACCAAGTTAATTGGTACTGCTGAGCTGATGCTGAGCCTGCAAGATTACTATCAGGGACTAAAGGGCAGGGTTTTATCTCCAGTGTATTCTAGATGGTCTTCCACCCTTTTCCCTCCAGGTAAACGACACACTCTGGAGATTGGACCGGCTCATTTCTGAATAAAATGACAATGTCTTTCATCTTTTGGCAAGTTGCTACAAAAAAGAACCCAAACTACAGCTATTGCGTGTGAAGCAGGGTTCAAAACAAAAAAAATTTCTCTGTCAAAAGGTGAATTGGATGGTCAGTATTGCAAAGATATCTATCATTAGACAGAAAGGCAAAAAAGTCTATACAAATATTAAGCCATGTCTCCATTTTATCAGCATCTAAACAAAGGGGTCCTTTCTCAATCCATTCTCGTACCAGTACAACCACAGCAACGCAAAGCCTCTCATGAATACACAAAGTTCAAACCCGAAATTAAATTTTTTGCTCCCACTGCTACTAGAAGCTTTTCCCAACCCTTATTCAGACTGGAAATTACTAATCAAACTTTAGTTCTTTCATCCACATTTGTGCTTTCCATCAGTTGCTGACCTTTTATCAAATCTTCCTTCAGCCCTGCCAATACTCTGTAGCCCAAGTTTATTTACAGAGACCAGTTATATTCTCTTTCCTTCCCACTGCAAGGATAAACAAGGCCAGGTCTTTTAGCCTCCTTCCATGTTTACCACCAGGGAATGAAAAGCTTAAGTAAAAGAATCAGAACAATAAAGAAGATGTTATCGTTCTCTTAATCCGTATTAGAGACGCTATTAAACTCTGATATTACCAAATTGAAAAAGGATTTAAACGTTTTGTCAGTAAGTTCCCCATAGTAAAATGAATCCCTGTGTTCATCGTTCTGTTGTACTAATTAAACAGTTTTAACTAAAATGGTCAGAAGGAACGCACAAGCTGTTTATCACTGCTGGCCTTTGAGCTTCAGTATACTCAAAGGACATGCTACTTTAGATGCGATAATTACTGAGTTCTTACATTTTTACTGAAGAGGCACAGAAGAGTTCCAACAGAGAATTTCACATTAATCAGAGCTAACAGGGTACTTATTAATAATAAAGCCATGATTATAATAGAAAAAAAACATTTATTCAGTTCAACATTTGTAGGTACTAATTCCAAAAACTGCTTAAATTGATATCGGGCAGAAAGTTTAGTCTCAGCTCTTTAGGGAAATTCAAGAAAATTAATCATTTATCTGAAGCACAAGAAATACTAAAGACTATTAACTATTCACCCACAAACAATAGCTTATCCTCCATTCCTCTGCTTCTTAACAGCTCAGTAATTTTTCTGAAATCTTTTCTTCTTACTTTTTTAAACTCTGATGCAAGTTATTTCTCCATGAACTGGAAATGCCTTCAAACTGTAACACCAAAGACTTACAAACATTACACATTTTTAACTGAAGGGCAAAATACAGACAACAAATGTAAATTTTCTGGGTGCCTTCTGCACAATTTCAAGTTTCAGAAGCATACATGTGGTTCAGAAAAGCTAAGTAGCTCCAATCTCAGTTTTAATACTAAAATTTCTATAAAAATTAAACACCTTTCAAGACTACTAAACGAAAATGATACAAATATACCCAATTGCCTAACTGTATCTTGCACTAAAAAAACCAAAAAGAGCTAGAAAGCAGACCATCCCAACAGTTATGCGATTTATCAGACTGATTACAGTATGGGAAAATTCTCCTTATTAATACAACATACTAAAGAAAAGTAGTTATTGTTTAGCTAGATTTTTTTCATATCTTCCACTTGCTAGTACAGAAGCAGAAATATAGACTCTGCACAGTCAGAATTTAAAATCTACATGCTGTTGTTTCGGACAAACAGCTTCTTGGGAAGCTGCATCAACTATGCATTAACTTGATCTTAGAAAAAAGAATAAAAATACTCAATACACACTCATATAAACATGGTATTAAGAGCCTATAGAGGAATTTACGTATTTATTTTAGCTCCATAATTCGACTTGACATATTCTTTACTCTGTGTGGGCAACCAAAGGATAGTCAAACAGTAATATCAGAGATGCAGGCTATGAAAATTTACTGTTCCAATCTTTTATATAGATATGTATACATATATGTACACATTTATATATACATACACAAAACATATGTTTGTTTAAACTTATGGCAGACCACTATTTTTATGCCTCACAAGTAACTGAGGATTCTGTGCATGGAATGGCACTATAGTGCTGTCCAATATTCACTACAGTCAACTAATCAGTATGTTTACAATTCCCATACAGGTATTCTAACCCCAAAGCAGAACAACTTTGTTAAAACTGTAAAGGGACAAGAGACATTCGCCTAAATATTCTCTTTTGAAAAATGACTTGCACTTAATTTTCTTCATGGCACATTGCATAATGAGGTTTTATTTAGAGGCCTGTATGTTTTAATCAGCATTCAAATACTAAAACTCAATTTGGAGAGCTTAATCTAATTAACCACACAAAGAAAAGCCACAGAAATATTTAAGTTTTACTTCCATTTTTTGCTGTTATGTACTTTCTTCCACTTTACACCACTTCAATGTGCAAATGCCTTACTTGGAACCTGTGCTCCTCTACTGCAACAGAACCTCTGAACTCTATTAGGGAAGAGTAACACAATTTCTTTTTTTGTCAGCGATCAATGAAAATGGTTGGGGTAGTTGGGGCAGATTCGGACAGGACTATTTTTCCCAAGAAATCATTTGGACCACAGGAGTTTGAAACAGTTGTTCTAGTTAAACGAAACTGTTCTCCCTCAAAAAGGTAAGGGTGCAATAGCTCAGCATAGCCAATGGATAACACAACACTGACAGGCAAGCAAGGTGCTTTGCTTAAGCAGGGCAGGGGAAGGGGGAAGACAGGATGACCAACCCCAAGATAAAGACACTTCTATATGCAACAGAACTGGTTACACAGGTATGGGACAAACAGTAATTGACACTAAACATAGTCTCCAAAAGGTCTCTAAAGGGCCTCTAAGCACTCCAACTGACTTTTAGAGACATACCAAGAGGAAAGAAAAAGTGTCCCAAGAACTACTTTGCTTATAAATTTCACTACACAGTGTTTCAGGACGGATAGTACTGAATGAACAAGATTATTCAGATCTTAGACCTATGGCTTAATAACTCATACTAGTTTGGTACTTAACACAACCTTCTTATGCTAACTGCAAATCATGCCAAGTGGAACATACAGCGATTCCCTAAGAAATATCTTGTCTAAAGCAACTCAGTGTGATCCAAGGGTAGCATCACATGAAATTTACATTTAAAGACGACCACAAGGATCAAAAGATAATTTAGGGACTAAAAAGATATACTTACATCTGGATATTCTTTTACAGGCACATATAGTTTCTCTTGTAACTGTACAATAGGTCCCACAGCATCTGGTAATTCTGCACTTCTCTTCTCCGTACTACCATTTAATGTGTCGTTATACATGTCTTTCCGTACTCTGCTAATTTCTGTGGGGGGAAAAACGTATATTAGGTATTAAATACAGTAACAGGTTATAATCTAGCATGACAATCTTCTATATTATTTCCCAAATCTTAATGCCATTTTCTTCCCTTCCTCAAGAACATCATAGTAGCTTAAAAATCTACTCGGTTTTTGTTTATTTTTTTCTGGGGTTTGTTTGGGTGTTTTTTTATTGTTGTTGGGCTTTTTTTTTAATTGCAGCACCCATCTTAAATGTCTTTCATGCCTGCAAATTCAATGCCTACTTATCCTGCTTGGAGAATTCAGCTATTGAATTAAAAATTATGTGCAGGTCCTTAGAACTTACAAGATTATTCACATCATCATTTAAAAGGTGCATAAAAACAGTTCTTTTATGTATTTTTTAATAATAAAGCATCTAGAAAGCAAAAAAATTTAGACATCTGTATCAAATAAAAAATTAGAAAAATTCATCTATACGGTACTTTCTGCTAGTTAGGAGTTTAACCATAGCAGTTGGAAATTAAAGGGTGCATCTTTCAGCAGTGTGAAATAGGAATACTCAAAGGTGCAGTTACTGAGCACACGGTGTGAAAACAAACTAGCAAATATTGTTCTACTGACTACCTACAGTGAGATAATGAAAAAATTAAGCGTGGTAGCAGAGACCTGGGCAACCTCTAGATACACCCAGAAGTCCTACTACTTCATTTCAAAGTAACAAAAAACTCCTCAACAGCATCGGGGAATGTTACAACTGGACTTACAGGTACTGTTTCTGCAAGTTACACCTGCATTACTAGCACCTCGAGGTATTTACTTGCAAGATGTAGTTCAGTAGTTATAAACAAGGTAGTTAAAAATGTATAATTTGATTCTAATCTACATTAGTGTAACTCAACCGTAACAATATGAGAATGGACACAAAGCTTTTTCTTGTTGAGTCAAAAAAAAAACTTAACAAGAAGATAGATTTTATTTCTAGGACTGTTAAACTAGTATTTAACTTGCTAATTTATGAATAAAAAAATACCACATTTCATAACTTACAGAATCCCAATCAATATAAAATGTTGTCAAGGAGTTTATTTCAATACCACCGAATAGTTACTTAATGTATTAATCAAGTTTGAAACCAAAAACTAACACTTAAACAGGATTGTTCCCAAAGCATTAAGACTTAGGACAGCAGGGGCTGCAAAGCAAAATCAGGTATCAGTAATTCCAGTCTTTTACTTAGAATTGTTACATTTGCTTTCAAAATCTTCAGAATTAACATGAACTGAAAACAGAAATCTTAAGTTTTCATCTAAACACAGGAAGCCACAGAAAGAAGAAGTAGCTTGAAACTCTAGCAGCAGAAAAGAGATTAATATAACCTCTCTTTCATAATCAGTTTCTTCTCTGGCAAATGATTAATAGCTGAGATTTCACCACTTGAAAAGCTGGGGAGGGGGGAGGAGAGCATCAGAAATGACACATTCTCAAACATATTCAAGAACAAGTTGTTTCTCCACTGGAAACAGACATTCAATCATGTATACTATCTCATGACTTTGTAGTTAACACCTGTTTCGAGTGGAGAACACAGATTTCGTCATCATATAATCGTAGCTCAAGGAAAAAAAAATCCTCATCTCCTACAATGACAATTTTGGCAAAGAGCACAAATTGCTCAGAACTACAAGCAGTATTTATACTGGCTTCAGTATACAAAGAATTCTTTAGCACATCTCTTTGAACAAATATTATTATCTTTTGGCAGACTTTGTTTCCTTTTCATTCTCTTCAGATTTTCCACTAACTTACACTACACTGAAACAAGCTAGGCAGGCTGCTGAAGTATTGAAGTATGAGTAGCAACATGGTCATTTTTATTTATACTTGGCAGCTAGCAAGCAGCTGCACTGCATGCAGAATATTATCACTAGCATTAGATATCCTAGTTTTTACAAGAGAAGAACATTTATTTCAACCTTTCTCTTGCAAATAATCCTATGTCACATTCATGACAATGTAAAGCCAAACATTCAGAACACACATAGATTATACCATAAGCTAACCTGAGTACTACCACTGAATTTTGACTTGTGAGAAACCTAATCTATCTACCATGCTTCAAACGCTACAGAGAATGAAGACACCTACCAACTCAAGATTTTCTACTCTACTACAGGACCAGACACCTGAAATTTAGTTTTCTTTGCACATGTAGATTTTCATCTTCTCTCCCTACATTCAAGGTGACTAACATCAGGACAGGGAAAGTCAGCTGCATCAACTCAGCAGTATCACTGGCTCCTCAAGTGCTACCACTTCTTCTCCTTCTTGGCCTTTGATCTTCTCTATTGCCTTAGATGCTTTCCCTAAGACCTTGGAAGAAACACTCAGAAGCGACAGATGAAATAAGCATATACTCCCAATTTTATTTAACTGCTGATCAGGTATTCCTTTCTGTGTAACACATTATCTAGGAGCCTCTCTTTTTACTTATCTTGTACTTGGAAGAACTGATGAATTAATGCCTAAATTACAAAATAATTAGATCGAATCTCCAGTTCACCCATTCTCTCTCACTTCTAACTATGGATAGAACACAATGTATCTTCCTTCCCAATCCGTTAGCACAGGCAACCACAAGTATTCTCCCAAGTACACTACTCCTGAAGTTATCTGCTTGATATGAATCCTTTTACACATCTCGAAGACGGCTTTATTTCTCACATACCCGCCTCTCGTTTAATCACACCTCTGGTGCCTCAACAAGAGTCCATACAAAGTTTTGCATTTTGATGACAATCTTTCCTTTTACAGTCTCCATCACACCCAATTCAAACTTCTAGTCTCTTAAGTATCTTGTAACTTTGCCACTCACTTCAGGCAGTTACATGTATCTACAGAACTATCAGGTACTGTATTTCCAGCACCTCCTTGAAATTTATTAAGAGTGAATACAGTTCCAGAAAACCTCACCAGCAGCATCTTAGAAAACCCAAGGGCTCTCCTCTCCCTTAAGCTCCAGCAAGTACCCTTTTTCATTCTGTTCTGAAATAACTTGAAATACTTAAAAGTCTGAGCAGTGCAAAAGCAGGAAGGTCACATCCTCAAAGCACACCTTTCATTTTTTAACACTGAATTCACAAATCATTAAAAAAAAAGATGAACTCAAGTAAACAGCTTTTTGTTTAGAATTATTTAACATTTCTTACATACTACCCACGTAGGTCTTCCCCAAAAGCTTCTTTGTCATGTCTGTCATGAAATCACAGAGCAGATTCACCTGGGAGCTATGCTTAGGCACATGAAAAGCAAAGAGGTGACTGGCAACAACCAAGATGGCTTTACCAGTGGCAAGTCATGCCTGAGAAATCTGGTGGCCTTCTGTGATGGGGCCACTGAATTTGTGGATAGGGGCAGAGCAACTGATACCATCTACTTGGACTTCTGCAAAGTGTTTGATACTGTCCCACATGACATCCTTGTCTCTGACTTGGAGTGACATGGATTGATGGATGGACCACTCAGTGGATAAAAAACTGGCTGGCTGGTCTCACGCAGAGTTGTGGTCAGCGGCTCATTGTCCATGTGGAGTCCAGTGAGGAGTGGTGTCCCTCAGGGGTCAGTGCTGGGGCCGATACTGTTCAACATCCTTGTCAGCAGCATGGACAGTGGGATTGAGTGCACTCTCAGCAAATTCGCTGACACCACCAAACCTTGTGGGGCAGTTGACACACTGGAGGGAAGGGATGAGCCATCCAGAGGGACCTTGCCTTGACACATTTGTGAGGTGGGCCAATGCAAACCTCATGAAGTTTAACAAAATTAAGTACAAGGTGCTACATCTGGGCCATGGCAATCCCAGGCATACCTACAGGCTGGGTGGGGAAGTAACTGAAACCAGCACGGAGGACAAAGACTTGAGAGTGATAGTGGATGAGAAGCTCACCATGAGCCAGCAGTGTGCACTCACAGCCCAGAAATCAAATCAAATCCTAGTCTGCATCAAAAGGAGTGTGGCCAGCAGTCAAAAGGAGGTGATTCTCCCCCTCTGTTCTCATGAGACCTCACCTAAAATACTGCATGCAGTTGTGGTGTCCTCAACATAAGATGGGCATGGAACACTGGGAGCAAATCCAGAGGAGGCTACAAAGCTGGTAGGAGGACCTGGAGCATCTCCCCTATTAAGAGAGACTGAGGAAGTTGAGGCTGGAGAAGAGAAAGTTGTGTGGAGACCACATAGCAGCCTTCCAGTACCTGAAGAGCCCACAGGGGAGCCGAGAGGGACTCTTTGTTAGGAACTGCACTGATAGGACTAGGGGTAACTGATTCAAATTCAAGGAGGGGAAATTTAGGCTAGATATTAGGAAAAAGTTTTTTTACTGTATCGGTGGTGACAGACTGGCACAGGCTGCCCACAGAGGTAGTAGAAGACCCAACCTGCTGGATGAGGCCTTGAGCGCCCTGGTCTAGTGGGGAGGTGTCCCTGCCCATGGCAGGGGTTGGGGCTAGAAGATTTATAAGGTCCATTCCAACCCCTAAAATTCTGTGATTCTATGACTGATTCTCAAGCGCATTTGCAAGGCTTTAGGGCTCCTTCACATTCACAGCTCTTTACAGATTCTTCCATCTCACACAGGAAGCCAACTGATTTTAAAATAAGGAAATCTTTACTTTCAAAGTGAACATCTACGTACCATTCTAGCTACTTTGTATTAACACTGCAGTGGTAATTAGGTTGTATAACCCTCTTGGGATTTAGAAGAAAGTTAGGAAGGAGAAACACTTAATTATAATGGTAGACATGGCTTAAAAAAGCATACAGCAGCTTCACCACACCTCTAACACCTGTGAGTTCTGCAAATGCAGTAATAGGCCTCCCTTTAAAAAGATCTAAGTATCCACCTCTACTGCAGGGAGATGCAGCAACTCATAGGAAGAATTTCAAAATCCACATTATTCACCATTAACAACACCCTGGTCTGTATGTTGTAAGCAATAAG